GAAGAAGGGATATCAGAGGTCAAAGTCCAACTTAATGAAATAAAACGTGAAGAAAAGATTAGAGAAAAAAGGATAAAAAGGAATGAGCAAAGTCTCCAAGAAATGTGGGACTATGTGAAAAGACCAAATTTACGTTTGATAGGTGTACCTGAATGCGATGGAGAGAATGAATCCGATCCAAGCTGGAAAATACCCTTCAGGATATTATTCAGGAAAATTTTCCTAAACTAGCAAAGCAGGTCAATATTCAACCCCAGGTAATACAGAGAACACCACAAAGATATTCCTCAAGAAGAGCAACCCCAGGCACATAATCGTTAGATTCACCAGGGTTGAAACGAAGGAGAAAATACTAAGGGCAGCCAGAGAGAAAGGTCAGGTTACCCACAAAGGCAAGCCTATCAGACTTACAGCAGATCTCTGAGCAGAAACTCTACAAGCCAGAAGAGAGTGGGGGCCAATATTCAACATCCTCAAAGAACAGAACCTTCAGCCCAGAATTTCATATCCAGCCAAACTAAGCTTCACAACTGAAGGAAAAATAAAATCTTTTATGAACAAGCAAGAACTCAGAGATTTTATTACCACCAGGCCTGCTTGACAAGAGCTTCTGAAAGAAGCATTACACACAGAAAGAAACAACCAGTATTAGCCTTTCTAAAAATATACCAAAAAGTAAAGAGCACCAACATAAAGAAGAATTTACACCAACGAATGGATGAAACAGCCAGTTAACATCAAATGGCAGTAACCCTAAATTTAAATCGACTAAATCCCTCAATCAAAAGACACAGCCAAAACCCAACGGCATGTTACATCCAGACCTGTTTCACATGCAAGGATACACAAAGACTCAAAACAAAGGGATGGAGAAAGATTTACCAACCAAATGGAGAGCAAAAATAAATAATAAATAAATAAAAAGCAGGAGTTGCAAATCTCATATCAGATAAAATAGATTTTAAAGCAGCAAAGATACAGTGGTAAAAGGATCAATGCAACAACAAGAGCTAACGATCCTAACACCCAGATACATAAAGACTTAGACTCAATGAGACAGAAAATGAATAAGGATATCAAGGACTCGAACTCAGATCCGGAACAAGTAAACTTAATAAATATTTATAGAGCTCCCCACTTCAAATACACAAAATATACATTCCTGTCAATACCACATCACACCTACTCATAAGTTTATATGAAACATTGATTGGTCATTATTAATACCCAATTTTTTTCAGAATAAAGCAATATTTCCGTTTACTCTCCCTCTTTCTCCTCCTCTTTCTTCCTCTCCTTTACTTATTTTTGTTTTTTTTCTTTCCTTCTCTCAAAAAAAGAAATCAACTTGTAAACCTCTAGATCCAGGTCGGCAACGTCTCTCTCATTACTTGATTTCCTTCCTTCCCTTCCCTCCCTCCCTCCCCGCTTCCTCCCTCCCTCCCTCCCTCCCTCCCTCCCTCCCTCCCTCCCTTCCTCCTTCCCTCCCTCCCTGCCTTCCTCCCCCCCCAAAAAAAAGACCATTAAAAAAAAAAAGAATAAATAACAGTTTCTTCAGAGTTTAAAGTTTTTGCTAATAATCTTAAAGTAGCTGTTAGTCATAATAAAGAAATAAGTGCATCCCGTGTTCTCAGTTCTTACACTTTAACCTAGATATTTGCCCAGACACGCCTGGACAAGCCCAGGCAAGTCTTAGGTCAAAGCTGATTCCCCTTCCTTATTTGGAAATGTTATTGCTGCTCTAAGCATTCCTCAAGTTACTTCCTCTTTTCTTTTGTTCTCCTCTGCCTTTACTTCTTTAGAAAATTTCCAAGTTTTTAGCCAATCGGGTCAAGCATAGAATATGAGGTCCTGTTCCAGCCAATAGAAACTGCACACAGTAGTAGGGCGATTGCGTCCGGTTATGAAAGTTATAAATGTCCCTGTCCCCTTTGTTCAGGTGTGCTCTCGTGGCAAGACTGCCAGCGAGTTGCACCCCTCCTGCAGGAAGTAAAACTAGCTTTGCTGAGTAATCCATTGTCTCAGTGTGTACTTTTTCCGATGTTATAAACCTGTTTCCAACAGTGGGCCTCTCTCTCCATGTGGTCTTTCACTCAGCAGTGTAGCCTGGACTCCCTTTCATGATGATCAGAATGTTCCAAAAGATCTAAGGCAGAAGATGTATGCTGTCTTGAGGCCTGGGCTCCAGAACTCACACATCTACCACATTCTACTGGCCCAAGCAAGTACAAGGCCAGCCCAGATTCAATGGTGGTAAACAGACTACTTCTTGATGAAAGATGGTGCAAATTATTATTATTTTTTTTTAGACAGAGTCTCACTGGAGTGAGTGCAGTGGTACAATATTGGTCACTGCAAGCTCTGGCTCCCAGGTTCAAGAGATTCTCCTGCCTCAGCCTCGTGAGTACCTGGGATTATAGGTGTGTGCCACTACCCCCAGCTAATTTTTGTATTTTTAGTAGAGATGGGGTTTTGCCAGGTTGGTGAGGCTGGTCTCGAACTCCTGACCTTAGACGATCCACCTGCCTCAGCCTCCCAAAGTGCTGGGATTACCGGTGTGAGCCACTGTGCCTAGCTGGCTCAAATTATTATGGCCATGTTTTTCAATTGATTACACTAAGAAGAGATCATAGTGGCTTAAAGGAATATAATAGTTGCAGTGGTTGTGGTGTGAAGCAGCTGGATTTTATACATTTAATAACAAGACATGTTGATTAACCGGATGTGGAATGACTTTTCAACTCAAGAAGTAAAAGGATACAACCGTCATTTACTGAGAAGCAGCAGGTTCAGGTGAGGAGAGAGAGAGAGAGAGCGAGAGAGCGCCAGAGACACAGAGAGAGAGACAGAGGAAATCAAGAGTTTTGTCTGCAACACCTATTAGATCTCCAAGCAGAAATGTCAAGTAGACAGATTAGAGTCTGTAGTTCAGCTACTGCTCTGCTGGAAAGTGGGAGTAGACAGAGAAGAGGCCAGGCTTTTATTTGTATGACCAGGGCATAAGGTTCTTCTAAATAGTCTGACCTGGTTTCTAGGTTGTCCAGCATCTTTCTCTTCCACATTTCTTGTCTTTCAAGAAAGCAGAGAAACCCCAAAGGGTTAGTTTATGTGGGGAAACAAACAAACAAACAGATCTTTTTGTCTATGAGAGTTTAGGTAAGTTTTTAAAAATGTATATTTACAGAGCTCTCTCAGAGCAGTTTGCTATCTGGTAACACAGAATATAATACCAAGACAGATTAACTCACTAGAAGTCATGAGAAAAAAACTTTTTCTTAAAAAAAAAAATAATAATAATAAAGGTAAAAGAGAAGGCGCTAAGGTAACTGCAGAATTCAAATAAATAGGTCTTCTGTCTACTGTATCTTTCAAAGGCAAGTTACCTAGAAAATCACTATACTCTGGCATCTGAAAATAAATGGGAAATGATAAAATTAATAAAAAGGTGTTTGGTTTTTTTTTTTTGAGACAGCATCTCACTCTGTCACTCCGGCTAGAGTGCAGTGGTGTAATCATAGCTCACTGCAGCCTCAAACTTCTGGGCTCAAGTAATCCTCCTGCTTCAGACTCCCAAGTAGCTGTGACTACAGGTGGGTACCACCACGAGTGGCTAATTTTTCTTTTTCTTTTTGTAAAGGATATTGCTATGTTGCCCACAATGCCCTTGGAATTCCTGGCTTCAAGCGATCCTCCTACTTTGGCTTCCCAAAGTACTGAGATTATAGGCATGAATCACCATGCTTGTCCAAAAGTTTTTTGTTTTTAATTCTAATGCACATTTAACTTTCCTATAAATATGCTAACCAATAAGGATGAAATTTAGGGAAACAGGTTTTTTTAACCATGTCAGCATAATTTCAAAGAATCACTGTTTCATAACCCAAAACAAAGACTGTAGGACCAATAAGCCATTTCATGTAGCCTTTACCACTAAAGATTGTGAAATATGTTTTGTAACTATAATTAGTATTATTATTCTAGATGTTTGTGTGTCCTAACATTCAAACATGATTCAAGTGAGTTTATAAGAGTATGACTCAATTCAATTCAAGTTACATTAATTTAAGGTCTACTAGCACTAGGCTGTAATGGATACAAGGACAAACAGGACCCAATTATACTATAAATCTTGCAAGCAGGATTATTCAGGTACATAAATATAAGAAAGTACATACTTTTAATTTATATTCTAATTTAATGTACAAATGATGTGAGGAAGCTTACCAGAAATATATTCTTAAATAAAACTGTGAACGTTTTTAAAACAGAAAAATACAAGGGCCGGCTCATGCCTGTAATCCTAGCACTTGGGAGGCCGAGGTGGGTAGATCACCTTAGGTCAGGAGTTCAAGACCAGCCTGACCAACATGGTGAAACCCTGTCTCAAAAAACGGAAAGAAAAGAAAAAAAAAAAACAAAAAAACAGAAAAATACAAATTGGGATGTGACCTGGGCAAAGTGGCTCACACCTGTAATTCCAGCATTTTGGGAGGCAGAGGTGGGTGGATCACAAGGTCAGGAGATTGAGGCCAACATGGTGAAACCTGCGTCTACTAAAAATAAAAAAATTAGCCGTGCGTGGTGGCAGGCTCCTGTAATCCCAGCTACTAGGGAGGCTGAGGAAGAGAATCACTTGAACTTGGGAAGCGGAGGTTGCAGTAAGCCAAGATCGCACCATTGCACTCCAGACTGGCAACAGTGAGAGTCCGTCTCAAAAAAACCAAAAAACAAATTAGGATGTGAGGTGAAGAGTAGGGGAGAAATACTGATATGTAATACACAGATGAACCTCAAAAACATTATGCTATGTAAAATACACCTGACAGAAAAGACCACTTATCAGCCAGGCGTGGTGACTCTCACCTATATTCCCAGCACTTTGGGAGGCTGAGGCAGGTGAATCATCTGAGGTCAGAAGTTCAAGACCAGACTGGCCAATATGGTGAGAAACTGTCTCTACTAAAAATACAAAAAAATTAGCAGGGCATGGTGGCACAAACCTGTAGTCCCAGCTACTTGAGAGGCTGAGGCAGGAGAATTGCTTGATCCCAGGAGGAGGAGGTTGCAGTGAGCCGAGATCGCACCACTGGACTCTACCCTTGGCAACAAGAGTGAAACTCCAATTCAAAAAAAGAAAAAAAAGAAAAGAAACAAAAAAAACCCCATTTATTGTATGTTTCCATTTATTTTTTTCCCCTTTTAAAATTTCTCTTGGTTTTCATGCTAATAATCTTCTCTATATCATTCCAATTTTAGTTTATGTGTTGCAAGCATGTATTATTCCAGTTGTATGAGATGTTTAGAAAAGGCATTTGGAGACAACATGGATTAGTGGTTGCTCTGGGCTGGGGGTGGGAAGAAGGATTAAATGTAAATGGGCATGAGGGATCTTAATGTAATGACAGAAATGTTCTAAATATGGATTGTTGTGATGACTGCAAAACTTGGCAAATTTACTAAAAATAACTGCACTGTCCTTTTAAATGAGTGAATTTTATGGTATGCAAACTATGCCTCGATAAAGCTGCCTTAAAAACCAAAGCCAAAATTAAAATTTTTACAGACATACAAAAACTGAAATGATTCAGTCCAGCTGACCTGAACTACAATAAATGTTAAAAGAGGCCCTTCAGGCAGAAGAAACGACACTAGATGGATTTATAAAAAGGAATGAAGAGAACTTTTCCTATGGTAACCATAGGAATAAATATACATATTTTGGGTTTTTAAAAACTATTTAAATCTTTAAAAACTATTAATATAATCAACAGTTTAAACATAATAGCAATACAGTGTGAGGTTTACAACATATAAAATGCATGACAATAGCATAAGGCTGAGACAGAAGAGATGGAAGTATACTTTTATTTATTTATTTATTTATTTTTTAATTTTTTTTTTTTGAGACGGAGTTTCGCTCTTGTTACCCAGGCTGGAGTGCAATGGCGCGATCTCGGCTCACCGCAACCTCCGCCTTCTGGGTTCAAGCAATTCTCCTGCCTCAGCCTCCCGAGTAGCTGGGATTACAGGCACGCGCCACCATGCCCAGCTAATTTTTTGTATTTTTAGTAGAGACGGGGTTTCACCATGTTGACTGGGATGGTCTCGATCTCTTGACCTCGTGATCCACCCGCCTCGGCCTCCCAAAGTGCTGGGATTACAGGCTTGAGCCACCGCGCCCGGCCCTTATTTATTTTATTTTGAGACAGAGTATCACTCTGTCAGCAAGGCTGGATGCAATGGGATGATCTCAGCTCACTGCAACCTCCATCTCTCGGGCTCAAGCAATTCTCCTGCCTCAGCCTCTCGAGCAGCTAGAATTACAGGTGTGCACCACTTTTTAAAAATTTTTGTATTTTTAGTAGAAACGGGGTTATTTTGTATTTTGTAGAAATGGGGTTTCATCATGTTGACCAGGCTGGTCTCAAACTCCTGACCTCAGGTGATCCACCCACCTTGGCATCCCAAAGTGCTGGGATTACCACACCCAGTCCAGAAGTATACTTTTATAAGGTATTATATATGAAACAGTAAGTAACTTGAAGGTAGACTGTGATAAGTCAAAGATGCATGCTTTAAGTCCTAAAACAATTAATAAAATAAAAAGAATTACTGGTAATAAGCCAATAAAGGAGATAAAATAAAATCCTTTTTAAAAATCAAAAAATTGGTTTTTCCCTTCCCTCCCCCATACCCTCACCAGTAACAAAAATAAAAAAAAAGAAAAAATCAAAAATTAAAACAAATTGCAAAGATCAATTAATTCAAAAGGTCAAAGGAGGAGAAAAATGGAACAAAAAAATTGTAAAGATCAATTAATCCAAAAGAAGGTCAAAGAAGGAGGAAAATGGAACAAGGAAGAGGATAGACAATGAAACAAATAGCGAAGAGTAGATTTAAGCCTATCTATTTCAATAATCACATTCAATGTAAATAGTCAAAACTCCCCATTAAAAGGCAGAGGTTGGATTAAAAAAGACCCAAATATATGCTCTTTATGAGAATCACAATTTAAATGTGAGACATAAACATGTTAAGGCCGGGGGTGGTGGCTCACGTCTGTAATCCCAGCACTTTGGGGGGCCAAGGTGGGCAGATCACAAGGCCAGGAGATCAAGACCATCCTGGCTAACATGGTGAAACCTCATCTCTAGTAAAAATACAAAAAAAAATTAGCCAGGTGTGGTGACATGCACCTATAATCCCAGCTACTCAGGAGGCTGAGGCAAGAGAAACATTTGAACCTGGTAGGCAGTGGTTGCAGTGAACTGAGATTGTGCCACAGAAAGATTAGTGCCCATGTTAATATCTGCCAAAGTAGATTTCAGAGCAAACAATATCACTGGGGATAATAAAGTCATTTCATAACTAACTGAGCCAATTGGTCAATAGGACATAGCAATCCTAAATGTTTTATGCATCTAATTACAGAGAAGCAAAATATATGAGGCACAAAGTACATGAGGCAAAAACTGATAAAACTACAAGGAGAAATAAATCAATTATAATTATATGTCTCTTAATAATTGAGAGAACAAACAGAAAAGCAAGAATATAGAGGACTTGAACAACACTACCAACTTGCCTTAATTGACATTTATGGAGCATTATGACGTAACAGAATACTCCACCCACCAACAAAGAGCACAATACATTACTGAGTACAGACATATTTTTCTTAAGCACACATGGAACACTGCTCAGACGGACCGCATTCTGGGCTACAAAATAAGCCTGAATACATTTTAAAGGACTTAAGTTATACAAAGTATGTTCTCTGACTACAAGAAATTAAATTTGAAATCAGTAACAGAAAGATATCTGAAAAAAACCCCAAATAAATAGAAACTAAATAGTATACTTCTAAATCCATGGGGTCAAAGATTAAATAAAAAATGAAATTAAAAAACAATTTGAATTTTGAAGGGTGGAAGCTGCAGTGAGCCATGTTCATGCTACTGCACTCTAGGCTGGGCAACACAGCAAGACTGTCTTAAAACAGAACAAAATAAAAGGATTTGTTTGGTTTTTGGGAAAGGGTTTTGCTCTGTCACCCATGCTGGAGTGCAATGGCACAATCATGGCTCAATGCAGCCTTGAACTCCTGGGCTCAAGGGATCATCGCACCTCAGCCTCCTGAGTAGGTGCGACTTCAGATACATGCCACTAAGCCCATCTAATTTTTTGTAGAGATGGAGTTTTGCCAGGCGTGGTGGCTCACACCTGTAATCCCAGCCTTTGGGAGGCTGAGATGGGTAGATGGCTTAACGTTAGGAATTTGAGATGAGCCTGGCCAAGATGGGGAAACCCCATCTCAACTAAAAATACAAAAATCAGCCAGGCATGGTAGGGCATGCCTATAATTCCAGCTACTCGAGACACTGAGGCAGAATTGCTTGAACCCAAAAGGCAGAGGTTTCAGTGACCCAAGATCGCCGTACTGCACTCCAGCTTGGGCAACAAAGTGAGACTCCATCTCAAAACACAAAAAAGAAAAAAGAGAGACAGGGTTTCAAAAAGCCTCCCAAAGTTCTGGTAGTACAGCTGTGAGCAGCTGTGCCCACCCCAAGGAAATAATTTGAACTGAATGAAAATGACAACACAGTGTATCAAAATTGATAAAACTAAAAAAAAAAATTGATAAAACTAAAGCAATATTTGCAAGTAAACTGATAGTACTAACTACCTAAGAAAGGGCTCAAACCAATGACCTTGGTTTCCACATTAACCTAGAAAAAGAGCATATTAAACCCAAAGTAAAAGAAAGGAAACAGTAAAGATCAGACAGGAAAACAACAAAATAGAAAAACTGATGAAACAGAAAACTGGTTCAAGATCAATAAAATACTTCAGAATTAACTGTGTCAAGCTAGTGTGTACAAAGACAGTGCTTAAGTTATTTATCTTAATTTGTCTCTAAATTTGAAGAAGTTATGCAGGCGACACAAGGAAGTATTAGATAGACTCAGTATCTGTATCAGATACCGAGGGCACAGTGGCTCATGTCTGTACTACCAGCACTTTGGGAGGCTTGATGAAACCCTCTCTCTTTTTCTTTTTTTTTGGACAAAGTCTCAGGTTGTTGCCCAAGCTGGAGTGCAGGGTGGCAATCTTGGGTCACTGAAACCTCCACCTCCTGGGTTCAAGCAATTCTCCTGCCTCAGCCTCTCGAGTAGCTGGAATTATAAGCATGTGCCACCATGCCTGGCTAATTTTTATATTTTTAGTAGAGATGGGGTTTCACCATGTTGGCCAGGCTCCAGAAATTTCTGTCTGAAATAACATAAAAGGTCTACCTATCCTTGGACAAATAACATAGCTCTTCTGAGCAATATAGTTTCCTCAGAAGTAAAGGGACTGAATGAGGTAATCTCTAAAATCTCTTTAAGTTCTAAGATCCTCTACATGCCAAAGAAGAGGTACACATCTAATAACAGCTCAAGAGACCTGAACAACAAGGTACTCAAACCTTGCAAACCAGAATTAGGACTTTCCTCAAAAATAACCATCTTGATCAAAGAAAAAAAGTTATTCAATCCACTCATAAGTAAATTAATAACTTTAAATATCAACTTTGGGGGAAAAAAAATCACAGGAGAATTTTGGTCTAATTTAAAATCAAGGACCAACATTACTAATTACTTAATCTTTGCTTCTCAGCTTATCAGTCCTGTGAGATGACCATCTTACATGCATCACCTCTTCCTCAATTCTGTCCTCAGTATTACTCCTGGTGAAGTGAGTGAGAGAGAGAGAGAGAGAGTGTGTGTGTGTGTCTGTGTGTAATTACAAAATTAGGAAGTTATAGAGGGTGAGATGAAATGAAGGCCTCTTGGTAATCAACAATTTGTTCAACTTACAGCTATTGTGGGCCAGGTATTTTTATTGTCTGATATATTTAGGGTAATCTTCTGCAGCTGCCTTTTAGGAGAAAAGTACTTTATATAAATATATCATATACAGGACTGAAATCTGAGTGTCCAGATCTGGATAACCAAATAGATTAGTCATTCATTATACAGTGGTTAACAGCATGGGCTTTGGAGCCAAGTCCCTTGAATTCCAATTCTTACGATACTACTTTCTGGCTCTATAATCCTAGACAAATTACTTAACCTTATGGGGATCATTATTAAGATAAAATGAATTAATACATACATGTAAAGATATAATTATGATCTTATCCTCCCAGTTTGATAAAAAACACCAGAATCTAAGAATATCCTGTAGGCCAGGCATGGTGGCTCACTCCAGTGGATTGCCTGAGGTCAGGAGTTTGAGACCAGCCTGGCCAACACGATGAAACCCTGTCTCTACCAAAAATACAAAAGAAAATTAGCTGGGTCTATAATCCCAGCACTTTGGGAGGCCGAGGCGGGTGGATCACAAGGTCAAGAGATCGAGACCATCCTGGTCAACATGGTGAAACCTCATCTCTACTAAAAATACAAAAAATTAGCTGGGCATGGTGGCACATGCCTGTAATCCCAGCTACTCTGGAGGCTGAGGCAGAATAATTGCCTAAACCCAGGAGGCAGAGATTCCGGTAAGCCGAGATGGTGCCATTGCACTCCAGCCTGGGTAACAAGAGCGGAACTCCGTCTCAAAAAAAAAAAAAAGAAAGAAAATTAGCTGGTCATGGTGGCTGGCACCTGTAATCCCAGCTACTCTGGAGGCTGAGGCAGGAAAATCACTTGAACCCAGGAGGCGCAGGCTGCAGTGAGCTGAGATCACGCCACTGCACTTCAGCCTGGGAAACAAGAGAGAAACTGTCTCAAAAAAAGAGAAAATCCTATAAAAAGTATTAAAACAGCACTTTTAAGTAGAACTCACACTTCCCTCCATTTTAAGTACTCCTATAAAGTAATATATCTATACATATTTCCATGGGAGGGTCATTACTTATGAAAACAAACACATCTACGTAGTTTAAAGGATAGCTTTAATATTAGTAAATGCACTGTTATGCTCAACTATTGTATAGTCTAGTGACACTGCAGACCTCCCGAATTCTAATTAAAATCAGGTGACTTGTAAGTTCATACAGCCTCTATATAAGACCTTTCACCACTGAATATTTTAAGATTCTGCCAAGCATCAGGCCTTAGTTTGTAGAACGTTTTAACTTAATGAAATTGTAGGGTATAATCTCTACAGTATGGGCCTCAAGCCAAACTAAGTGATCTCCAAAAAGATGCCAACCTGTTTATCCCCCACGCCATTATGGACCAAACAATTACAGTTCCATTGACTGCCACAGCTCACTAGAGTGGTAAGAAAGAATGGAAAGATGTGGGTCATATTCCAATAATCAATAATTGTGTGACCTAACCAAAAGGACCTACTCGCTCAGTGACTCACTTCCTCCACCTGTACAGATACCTATGCTCTGAGATAGTGAAAGAATTAAAGGAGAGGATGAATGAAACCTCCCCTCTATGCCCACCGGCACATGGCACTTCTCAATTCATGTTCATTTCTCTTTCCTTTATTTGAAGGAATGAAAGAAATTAGGAGCAATTTAAGACTTTTCACAGCACTGCTTGATCTCACCTTTTAATATTTTTGACAAAAACCATCTACAGGTTAAGCTGTGGAATCTCAACATAAATGCACATTTTTAGTGCTCCTTCAGCTTTACTTCAAAACCAAAATAGGAACTAAAATAGGGTATGAATAATCTACTGACAGAATAGGAATAATAAAACTTTTGGAATAAATGCCCACTTTAGAGTAAACAAGAAGATAAAGGAGGTATCATCATAAGTTGATGAGAATCCTATGATCACTATCACTTTCTGGAAGAAGTCCCTGGAAATATCTAAATCTAGTAATTTTAACTGACTCAAACATCATTTTTAGTAAACATTCTGGTATCCAAAAGGATGAGACTAAACAATGATATTCAAGATTAATATTATTTGGAAATGTATTCCACAACTAATTTATTCTGGGCCTACCTGCTGGGATAGTCTTTTCAAAATTAAACGTTCTATAGGTACAAAGTAATTTTAAGAGAGGATATTTTAATTTTAAAACTTACTCTTAAATTTTCTGGACCAAAGCATTCCCTTCCACATATAGAACTCGGGTTTTAACCAAATACTTGGTTGAAAACTACACAAATTCAGACATAACTGAAGTCTTTTTTTTTTTCTTTTTTTTTATATAACTGAAGTCTTAATTCTGCCACTTTCAAGAGTGGGTGGTACAGATTCTTCTCATTCATGCCATTAGTTTCTAGCTCATGTGGTTCTTTATTCAAGGAATACTGATAACAGTCTTTCACAAAATGGTAGATTCAGTCTAAGGTCTAAGACTAGATCATTCTGGAATAACAAGAGATTACTTTTACAAACCCCACTTACTATTTGGTCCTAAGTTTTCATAAAAAATTTATATAGTCAGCAGATGTATACAGAAAAACCTAGAGGAGACCGGTTTAAACATAAAATACCCACATACTCAAAGCGTAAGAACAATTTATTTAGGACAAAACAATCCTGGAGCAATTGTCCAATATCACAAATACGGCAGTCACCCCTAAACTGTTTTGATTAATGGCAACCAATTTCCTTCAATCTTAAAGGCAACCAATTCAAGCCAGTAGGTTAAATCCTTGAAGTATACTGCAATGATACTCCTTTTTTCCAGGGAACCAGGTGAGAATTTTGTGCTAAGAACTAATCAGGGATATGGAAGTAATGAAAATACGATGCTAAAATATAAGAAATATAAGCCTCCTTAATAATCAGCACAGAAAAAGATACAGGTCTTAAACAACCTTCTGTCTTAAAACAACCTTTTTCAGAAGTCGGCTGGATTCAGAGTAGAAATAAATGAACTTTACAATGAGCCAAATTCCACCAAAAATCAGAAGTGGGAGCTTACTCGTCCTCCAGCTCTGACCCGCCTTCCCCCCGCCCGAGGCCACCAAAAGACACACCTCCCTTCCCCCACCCGCCACAGCCGGCTCTCCAGGTAACAGGCGTTTCTTCTCGCGCTGTCTGAACAAAAACAGTCCAGAAGGAACAGATTTCTTTTCTTAAAAACTGAACAAAAGCCAAAAAGGCCACAAACACAACCTAAACCTTCTAAGCTCGACTACCCCCATTCTGCACATTCCTTCACAGAAGGATGCCGAGCCCCGGGTGTTGGAGGAAACCAGGAAGCTCTCGGGGCCTCCCTGGGCCAGACCCGCACCCGAGAAGAAGCCGCGAGGTTCTGGGAGCCCTCGGTCACCCCAAGACCGCGCCGCAGGCTTGAACAAAGCGGCGGGCACAGCGGCCTCGGCGCTTCCGAGCATGTTCGGGACCGAACGCCTGGCGTCCCGCGCTGGTTCCAGAGAGGCGGCGGCGCAGGGCGCAGAGGCCTCCCTCTCGCCCAAGCCGCGGCCCGCGCCCCGCCGCCGTCCCCGGGGACGGTACTCACACACGCACAGCTCCACCACGTACGCGTAGTAGGACCAGACGACCACGAAGGTGATGAAGAGCACTGGCACCCAGCCCACGACGCGCTGGCAGCAGCGCCACAGCGTGCAGGGCGCCATGTTCGGTTGGCGGCAGCGGAGCCCCGCGTCCCACCGTTCTGGGGAGCGCGGGAGCCCCGACGGCAGCGACTCAGAGGCTCCGGGCGGCTCCTGGTCCAGCTCCCCCGCCTCCGAGGCAGGGCTTGTGGGAGCAAAAGTCCCAAGCGCCGCCGGGACTCCTCCGGTCCCGGCGCCTGGCCAGGTCCCGCCCCCACCCCACATCCCGCCGCCCCCCTCCCCCCGCGTCCGTCCCCGCCCGCCTTCCGCGGGCCGCTGGCAGGGTCTCTGCGCCGTCAGGGGCGGGGCTTTCGCGGCCGGGGAGGCGGGAAGGGGGCGGGGAAGAAGCTAGGGACCGCCCACGGGGCGTGGCAAGCTGGTTGCCAACGGGCTGGGCGGTCTCAGGAGGCTGGGGAAGGAGAGGCGAAAAGCAAACCCTGATGGATGAGGGCGTTAGGGGATGGGATTTTGTGTATCTAGACTCATGGGGGAAGGAGACTATGGAAATGATTCTTTAGCTGATTTGTGGATCTTGGGCCTCTCCGTGTAGGGAACACTGAGAGCTCCACTGGGGTTCCTGGACACTGAGTAGTTGGGGCACTGATTCAAACATGACAAGGCCATTCCCCACTCAGTGCGCTAGGATTGCACATTGTTAGAAGGCTCCTCCTGTGATTTTCATGTCCATCTCTGCGGAACCCGTCCCTTTCTTGAAGATGGAATGGTAGATATCTGCAATTTTGGGTGGAAGCCATGTAGGTAGGGTCTGTCCGTTTGATTCGGAACCCATATTTAAGATTGAGTAGCGAGAAGGAAAGAGCGAGTAAATGGCTCTCTCCTTGCCCCGAAAACGACTACGGAAATTTACAGAATTTATTTACAACTAGAGATTGCTGAGCAATGACGATAATCATATAGAACCTAGAAGCATCACTGTGAAGATTTCATAATGCAAGGTCAGACGCATAAGAAGGGATTCCAGACCACATTCTTAATACCACTTCCTGCTATTAGCATGCCAGTTTTGGTTAGAATTAGTTTTGTGTTTGTTTTTTGAAACAGGGTCTTCTCGCTCTGTCGCCCAAGCTGGAGTGCAGTGGCGCAAATCTGGGCTCACTGAAGCCTCGACCTCCTGGGCTAAAGCACTCCTCCTGCTTCAGCCTCCAGAGTTGCCAGACTACAGTTGCACCACCATGCCTGGCTAATTTTTGTATTTTGTGTAAAAATTAGGTTTCGCCCAGTTGCCAGGCTGGCCCTGAACTCCAAGGCTCAAGGAATCCCCACCCCACCTTCGCCTCCCAAAGAAGTGCTGAGATTACAGGTGTGAGCCAACGCATAAACTGAGCTTTTAATTAGCTACTACACACTAAAGTCTCCAAGAAAAAGACTTCTCTCATTGCAGCGTCACAGAAATATAGTAAAAGTAAGTAACTATTTAACCACTGCACACTGCTGCTTGAAGTAATAAAGCATGTATAAAAGATTCTGTTCTCCCTGATTTTGTGCCTTAGAAGTCATATTAGCTAGTGGCCAAGTCGATAGTAGGTTCAGGGGATTCAAGTGGTTCAAATTCAACTAGTTTTCCGGAGAGGCTGCTTCGGAGGGTTAGACCTCAACATAGAATTTGGATGGGCGTGGAAGAACATAAAGCCCTTTCTCCTCCATGTCATCTCTGCATATCGAAATCATGCTGTTAGAGCTCAGCACAAAGGCCACGGCCTCTACAAGCTCCAGGGCAGTTAGAAATGATCTTTCATAACATTTTGTTTATAACTTAGCTATGAAGCTGTCACATTCATTTCCTAGGGTGACTATAAGAAAGTACCACACAACTGGGGAGTTATAACAATAGAAATGTGTTGTCTTACAGTTTAGGAGGGTAGATGTCTCAAATCAAGGTGTTGGCAAGGATAATGGATATGGTTTGGATGTTTGTCCTCTCCAAATCCCATGTTGAAATGTGATCTCAGTGTTGGAGGTGGGCCCTGGTGGGAGGTATGGGCTCATGAGGGCGGATTCCTCATGAATGGTTTAGTGTCATCCCCTTGGATGAGGGGTTCTTTCTCTAGTAGTTCACATGAGAGCTGGTTGTTTAAAAGAGCCTGACCTTTCCTCACTCTCTCTCGCCCCCTCTTTTGCCATGTTAACACCCTGGCTCCCCTTTGTCTTGTGCCATGATTGGAAGCTTCCTGAGGCCTCACTGGAAGCATATGCTGATCCCTTACTTCCTGTCCAGCCTACAGAGCTGTGGGCCAATTAATCCTCTTTTCTTTACAAATTACCCAGTCTTGGCTGGGCACAGTGGCTCACGCCTATAATCCCAACACTTTGGGAGGCGGAGGCGGGTGGATCACAAGGTCAAGAGATCAAGACCATCCTGGTCAACAAGGTGAAACTCCATCTCTACTAAAAATACAAAAACTAGCTGGGCATGGTGGCGCGCGCCTGCAGTCCCAGCTACACAGGAGGCTGAGGCAGGAGAATTGCTTGAACCCAGGAGGCGGAGGTTGCGGTGAGCCGAGATCGTGCCATTGCACTCCAGCCTGGGTAACAACAGCAAAACTGTCTCAAAAACAAACAAACAAACAAACCAATAAACAAACAAACAAATTACCCAGTCTCAGGTATTTCCTCATATCAATGCAAGAATGGCCCAACACAGCCATGTGCCCTCCATAAGGGAGAATTCTTCTTATTCTTCTTTGCTTCTTCCTAGCCATTGGTGGTGGCCATCAGTCCATGGCATTCCTTAGCCTGCAGTGGCAGTGGCATCACCCCAATATCTACCTCTATCCTCGGGGGGTGTTCTCCTTTCCTGTGTCTCTCTCTTCTTATATTGGGTTAAGGGCCTACCCTACTGTAGTATGGCTTCATCTTAACTACTTACATCTGCAACAGGCCCACTTCCAAATAAGGTCACATTCTTTTTTTTTTTTTTACTCTAATATTTTTTATTCCCTCAAATTTGACCCAAATTTATCAGTATTTTAAGAAGTTTTTAAAATTTGATATTTTTTTCTTACACTGACAAAAATCTGTCCTCTGCCTTGCCCCCAGTTTTCGGTGGATTCACTTTATTATAAAATATTTTTGAAGGCTGTCATTTGCTAACACCGAATTTTCTTCTCTATGTATATAACTTCAAGTTCATTGAATATTTGTGCAATCTCAGAGTTCAAAAACTAATACATCTGCTTTTAGAAATTTCCTTCACAGATCACTATTTTTACCATGGCTTTAAGAATAAGACACATAATTTCACAACAGCTCAAATAATTAATACCCCCATTATGTGAAGAAAATTCTGAGCTCCAAATGAGTCTCTTCTTACACCAATTCCTATGATTGCTGATTTAGCCAATTTTAATAGTTTCCTATATGTTTAAGGTTCGTTGCTTGCAAACCAAGGCCTGAATGGTTATAAAATGTACTTACTGGTCAGTGAATTGTACTGGGAGAGAGCTCTGTAACACAACTCATTTAGGAGTTGTACCCTGAACTCAATCAGACAAATAAAGTTTTCAAAAGTAATGGAAGTTCTTCATCACAAAAATCTAATACAGTCTTGGAGTATGTGCCCAAGAATGGTATCAAAGCAAGGGTCCAATAAACTTGACTGACCTAAACCTGTCACTGTGTTGTAACATTCACCAGCCTAAGGTGGGGGGTGGGGAATGATCCTCACCTATAAGAATTTTAGAAGTTAGCCAGGTGCAGTGGCTCATGCCTGTAATCCTAGCACTTTGGGAGGCTGAGGTGGGTGGATCACCTGAGGTCATGAGTTCAAGACCAGCCTGGCCATCATGGTGAAACCCCATCTTTAAAAAAAAAAAATTAAAAAACAAAAGCAAAAAAAAAAAAAGCCGGGCTTGGTGGCTCAGGCCTGTAATCTCAGCACTTTGAGAGGCAGAGGTGGGCGGATCATGTGGTCAAGAGATCGAGACCATCCTGGCCATGATGAAACCCCGTCTCTACTAAAAATAGAGTCCCAGATATTCGGGAGGCTGAGGCGGAAGAATCACTTGAACCCAGGAGGCAGAGGTTGCAGTGAGCCGAGATTGAGCCACTGCACTACAGCCTGGTGACAGAGCAAGACTCCGTCTCAAAAAAAATAATAATAATAAATTTAAAAAAAAAAAGAATTTTAGAAGTTTAATGAAAAGTTAAAATTAAAAAGGAGGTCCATTTGCTTTAATGTTGTACAAAAATGTATGACTAGAACCAAAAGTAAATAAACATTATCACATTTGTTTATACCACTATCTATTTCTTCATATTAATTTTACTATTCAAACAACAGAAAGTAGGTGGCAATTTAGGGATCGCAAAAGAGATAAAACCAAAAAAACTTTTCTACCACATTTATTCTACACTGTGTATAGCTGTGCTCACAGAGACAAGCAGCTCCTTTAACTTCTCCACTGCGCAGGAATTCAGGTATGTAAAACTGAACCTGCTCAACAGCTGAGGGAGACTAGAAATGATGGGTCCATATCTTGGTGCATTGTCATACAATTCAAACAATGGTGCAGCTACCAGCTTATAATTTTTAGGGACTGCAAACAAAGCTTTTTCTTGAAGCTGAACCAGAAACTACTTATGTTCCTTAGGCATTGTATGGATACTGAGGAGGTTCAAAATTTGTTCTCCACCAGTTACCAATGCAGTTGTCAATGACCCAGTCTTGCAGAACTCCATCCTGACGACCCAGTATCTCTGTCATTTAGCGTTTTAGTTCTTCAACTTCATCTTCTCCTGGGTTAAGTTCACCACCAGGTAGTTTGAAGAAAGTTGTTCCCAGCTGTAGCAGTAACACACGGGGTACACGATGTGCTCATGTACAATCAGAACCCCTTCTACAGTCCTCCTCATTCCAATTTTATCAAATTCTTCCCTCATGCGCTGAAATCTGGCTGCAACAGAGCTGTCCTTATAGAGGGGTTCTTTTGTACCAAAAGTATAACTGGTAAGAGGGTACAGGTTGATGGTACGCTCCAGAGTGAGGGGCTTGGTCTGCTGGATGTACTTGTTGCCGAACTGAGTGACCCCCGGGGCCAGCCGTTCTGCAAACGCTTGATATGCTGGCGAGCTCCGGCACTAGCAGCGAGCAGAAAGTGGGAGGTAGGGGAGACTCCCCGAGCGGAAAGCGGTTATCTGCGACCACCTCAGAGGCCACCGCCTGCCATTAACAGGAGAGTGCAATGGGTCTTTTTTATTTTATTTTATTTTATTTTTAAAAGATGGAGTCTTCTCGGCCGGGCACGGTGGCTCAAGCCTGTAATCCCAGCACTTTGGGAGGCCGAGGCGGGTGGATCACGAGGTCAACAGATCGAGACCATCTTGGTCAACATGGTGAAACCCCGTCTCTACTAAAAATACAAAAAATTAGCTGGGCATGGTGGCGCGTGCCTGTAATCCCAGCTACTCGGGAGGCTGAGGCAGGAGAATTGCCTGAACCCAGGAGGCGGAGGTTGCGGTGAGCCGAGATCGCGCCATTGCACTCCAGCCTGGGTAACAAGACCGAAACTCCGTTTCAAAAAAAAAAAAAAAAAAATGGAGTCTGGCTCTCTCACCCAGGTTGGAGTATAGTCACGTGATTTTGGCTGACTGCAACATCCACCTCCCAGCTTCAAGTGATTCTCATGCCTCAGCCTTCTGAGTAGCTGGGATTGCAGGCGTGCACCACTACCTGCAGCCTGAATTTTGTATTTTTAATGGAGACTGGTTTTCGCCATGTTGGTCAGGCTGGTCTCAAACCCTTGAAGTCAAGTGATTCGCCTGCCTTGGCCTCTCAAAGTGCTGGGATTACAGGCGTGAGCCACCACGCCTGGCCAATAGTTTTGATATTCATTGAAATGTGTGATCTTGGCTGGGCGTGGTGGCTCACGCCTGTAATCCCAGCACTTTGGGAAGCCAAGGCGGGTGGATCACGAAGTCAGAAGTTCAAGACCAGGGGGGCCAACATGGTGAAACCCCATCGCTACTAAAAATACAAAAATTAGCCAAGCATGTTGGCAGGAATCCCAGCTGCTCGGGAGGCTGAGTTAGGAGAATTGCTTGAACCTGGGTGGCAGAGGTTGCAGTAAGCCGAGACTGCACCACTGCACACCAGCCTGGGCAATAGAGTGAGACTGTCTCAAAAGAAAAGAAAAAAAGAAAGAAATGTGTGATCTTGCCTACTATCTTGTGAGATTCTAGAAGGTAGAAAGTATTTCTTGCACATCCCCAGTGACTTGCAGTAGGAAATATTTAGTAAGAAATTGTTGAACGAGCCCGGGCATGGTGGCTCAAGCCTATAATCCCAGCACTTTGGGAGGCCGAGGCGGCTGGATCACGAGATCAAGAGATCGAGACCATCCTGGTCAACATGGTGAAACCCCGTCTCTACTAAAAATACAAAAAATTAGCTGGGCATGGTGGTGCGTGCCTGTAATCCCAGCTACTCAGGAGGCTGAGGCAGGTGAATTGCCTGAACCCAGGAGGCAGAGGTTGCAGTGAGCCGACATCACACCATCACACTCCAGCCTGGGTAACAAGAGCGAAACTCCATCTGAAAAAAAGAAAGAAAGAAAGAAAGAAATTGTTGAACGAATATTTGAAATTTTCTATTGTTATCCAGTTACTCCTCCTAACTTCCAGTCACCAACCAGATTACATTAGTTTTTTATTTCTTTGACTTTTTTGAGACAGAGTCTCACTCTGTCACCAGGCTGGAGTGCAGTGGCATGATCTCGGCTCACTGCAACCTCCAACTCCCTGGTTCAATCAGTTCTCCTGCCTTGGCCTCCCGAGTAGCTGGGATAACAGGCACGTGCCACCACACCGAGCTGATTTTTTATATTTTTAGTAGAAATGGGGTTTCACCATGTTGGACAGAATGGTTCCGAACTCTTGACCTTGTGATCTGCCTGCCTCGGCCTCCCAAAATGCTGGGATTACAGGTGTGAGCCACTGTGCCTGGCCAGTTTCTGATTTCTAAATGACTGCCACATATTCTAAGAAGATTTAAGTGGGATCTAGGAAATATTTCTCATCTATGTTCTTGTACAGTGAGGACAGACACATTTTTGAGGAAGTAATATTTTTATTCTTTTGGGACTCCTTATGTTGTAAATGGTAACAGACATGAATTAATGCTCTTTGTTTGTGAGCAATAGGAGCCAGTGTCTTAAAACCCTTCATTCTGTTTCCATGTTGGGCTTGTGATTTCACTCCATCTTTGCTACTGGTTTTGACAACAGGGAAGCATTTAAAGATTTTAGGCAGTGTAGTGATGTGAGCAGAATTACATTTTATAGCAATCACTCTGGTTGTGGTAGGAAGAACAGATTGGAGGGAGCAATGTCTAGAGGCAGGGAGACCAGTTGGGAGTCTGTTGCAGTCATAGAGGCAAGAGATGACGGTAGCCTGACCTTGATTTGTGGTGGTGGAGAAGGTGATAAGAAAGCTGCTTAGGACTTCAGACCAGCTTTGATGTACCCACTCTACTCCAAAACATAGCAATGCTATTAGATCATGCCCCACCTAATCTCCACCACCCTTCCTTCTAGATGGCCTGCCCAAGGTTCTTTTTGTAAGGTTATTGTCTTGTGGGGTTTATTGCCGAGTTAACAATGAGGAAACGGAGGCCAGCACAAGAGAAATGCCATTTATTTGGACCCCAGGTGAGGTTTTCTAATCCCAGGGAAAGAGGCCAGGGAAGTCACACCCAACGCCTCCGGGCATGGGGTTTTATAGCGAGTGAAGGCGTTTGATTGGCTGTGGAGAAACAGGAGGTGGACGTGGCAAGCTGCTATAGGTAGGTAGGCAGGATTTCCGGATGGGGCAATATGCTATTGGGCAGGTTTTGGTGGGGCTTTCCAAGGGCAGGCTAGGTGCAGAGTGCAGAGGGGATTTCCAAGGGCGGGGTTGAGTGCCGAGTGCAGAGGGGATTTCCAAGGCAGAGCTAGATGATGGGCATATTCTGGTAATGTAATTTTCAGGCAGGGAGAGGGATGGGTGTGTCCGAGCTCGAAGCAACCACCCTTACGCTTTTCTGTTAACCTCTGCACACATTTGCACAGGTCATGCTGTTCCATCTGGGAGCTCTGCCTGCAAAATTTTGGCCCCTTCCTCCACACCCTGGATTCACCACCCGTTCCCTCAGACCTGGCTTCCTATTAAGGGATAATAAATAAAAATAATCCCCCACCTGACTGGTCAGACCGCTCTTGGCCAAGAGGACCCTACAGAAACCTTTGTCCTCCAATCATACTTCTATGTGACTGCCCATACAAAACACAGTTTGTCCTGTTTTTTGGGTCTTCATTTCTAAAGGCTCCTGTGTCATATAAAACTTAAATAAATGGGCCAGGCACGGTGGCTCATGCCTGTATTCCCAGCATTTTGGGAGGCCAAGGTGAGCGGATCACCTGAGGTCGGGAGTTTGAGACCAGCCTGACCAACATGGAGAAACTCCATCTCTACTGAAAATACAAAATTAGCAGGGCGTGGTGGCACATGCCTGTAATCCCAGCTGCTTGGGAGGCTGAGGCAGGAGAATCACTTGAATCTGGGAGCCTGAGGTTGTGAGCTAAGATCACACCATTACACTCTAGCCTGGGCAACAAGAGCGAAACTCCATCTCAAAATAAACAAACAAAAAACACTTAAATAAATGTGTTTCCTTTCCTCTTGTTAATCTGTCTTTTACGACAGGTGCCTCAGCTATGAAATTTGCACTGGGTGAGAAATCTTTTCTCCCCTACTCTACCAACTATCAAAATATTATTTGAGAACTTCAGAAGGGCCATGTCTTGCTTTAGGAGCAGGTGAGTTAGGGAAAATTGCAAGTCCACACTCTTTAGTGATGCCCTGGGGAGGGAGAGAAGGAACAATAGCAGGTTTAGGGTGGGATAAGGAAGGAGAGAAGGGATGAGGAGCCGGTTCAGGAAGCAGAGGCGTTACCTGTAGCTGCAAACCCAGTTTGCTCACTCCTTTAACCTTCCTCTGTGTACATCCTGGCCTCAACTCTCACCTGGATTAGCTCACAGCCTCCCCGCTGCGGCCCCCTCAGGCCCCCGTCCTCCTCCAGCCCTCTGTAAACACTCCCTGCCTGTGCTCTGCCCAGCAACAAACCTGTTCTGATAACCTTCTTTGTGCTAAGCACTAGGGAACAGAGAGAAAATCTTTGCTCTCGTGTAGCTTTGGTTCTTTCTTTGTTTTCTATTTGCCTCCAGTCTGCAGAATGAGCCTTTAGAAAATTAAATCTGCTTCACACACTTGAATGGTCCGAATGATGGGGCATTAAACTTCCCAGTCCCTGAAGCTCACCTCCCTTCCTGCCCCTCTCATCTCCTTCTAGATGGCCGGCCCAAGGCTGCCTTTCTTCTCCATGAACCTCAGCACATATTTGCACAGGCCATGCTGTTCCATCTGGGAACTCTGCCTGCAAAATTTGGCCCCTTCCTCCTCACCCCGGATTCCCCACCCCTCCCTCAGACCTGGCTTCCTACTAACGAATAAGAAAAAACAATAACCCCCCACCTGACTGATCAGACCTCCTCTTGGCCAAGAGGACGCTACAGAAACCTTAAAGAGCATCAGGCCATGATGGGATGGTAGAGTCACACACCTCATTACAGCCCCTCCCTTTTGTGGTTTAAATACAACTGACCAACATTGATGGTAAAATACAGATCATAAGTCTAATAGAATGGAGTCTTTGTGGCAGTGAGATATCAAGTAATAAACAAGACCATGCCAGGCAAGGGTTAAGTGGTGAACCCCTGCACTTAAAGAAACAATTATGCTCCAAATGCTGCAAGGGTTTTTGTTGTTTGTTTTTTCTCTAGCAGCTAAACAAGAACTGATGTGGAGATAAGCAACACTGAAACAATTAACAGCTCCTCTGACCTCCACACACTGCCTAACTGGCCCCAACACCTCCATTCCACCAGCCATAGCTACAGCTTTGACTGGACAAGACACTGTTTTCAGTAACTTTCTCTTGGTAAGAGATCACCGACCATGGACTGGTTCTGGCCAGTTCGCAGAGGCTGTGCACTGAGTGCCTTTGCATCACTGCCTCACTTTTTGATGTATAGGGCCTGACTATAATGCATTGAAATATCAAGGCCCGTCCACAGCCATACTGCCCCGAATGTGCCGGATCTCATCTGATATATGAAGGTGAACAAGGGTCACATGGAATAGACATATTTATCCAGTCTGCATGCTTTAGGCCTCCCTCACAAATATTTGGAAGATTACCCTGTACCCTACTGAATATGTATGTATGGCTAATCTCACTGGGTCCAAATTACAGCCTCTCCTTGTTTTCTCTGAAGTGCCTGCTTTCTGTCTCTGGGAAAGGATGTGCTTCCCAGCCTGAAGGGATGACCACCTGCAGGCTGCAACCCTTTACAGGAAATGCAGCTTTTCTCTCCAAATTTATAGATCTCATGATGTTTAAAATTTTTAATTTTTGTGGGTACACAGTATGTGTATATATTTACGGAATATATAAGATATTTTGATACAGGCATACAATGTATAATAATCACATCAGGGTATATGAGGTAACCATCTCCTCAAGCATTCATCCTTTGTGTCACAAAAAATTCAAATACAATCTTTTAGTTATTATTTATTTATTTATTTTGAGATGGAGTTTTGCTCTTGTTGCCCAGTCTGGAGAGCAATGGCATAATCTCGGCTCATTGAAACCACTGCCTCCCGGGTTCAAGCAATTCTCCTGCCTCAGCCTCCTGAGTCACTGGGATTGCAGGCATGCATCACCACACCTGGCTAATTTTGTATTTTTAGTAGAGATGGGGTTTTACCGTGTTGGCCAGGCTGGTCTTGAACTCCTGACCTCAGGTGATCCACCTACCTCGGCCTCCCAAAGTGCTGGGATTACAGGCTTGAGCCACCACTCCCAGCCTGCTTTTCTAATTCTTTAAGGTGCATCGTTAGGTTGGTTATTTAAAATTTTTCTTCTTTTTTGATGTTGGCACTTCTAGCTCTAAACTTCCCTCTTAGTACCGCTTTTGCTGTGTCCCATGGGCATGTTGTGTTTCCATTATTGTTTATTTCAAGAAAATTTTCAGGCCGGGCATGGTGGCTCACGCCTGTAATCCAAGCACTTTGTAGGCCAAGGTGGGTGGATCACCTGAGGTTGGGAGTTCAAAACCAGCCTGACCAACATGGTGAAACCCCATCTTTAAATATAAATAAATAAATAAAAAGAAAAATTTCAGTTTTCTTCTTAATCTCTTCATTGACCCACTTGTCATTCAGGAACGTATTGTTTAATTTCCATGTGTTTGTAGCTTCCAAAATTATTCTTTTTATTGATTCCTAGTTTTTTTGTTTACTTTTTTGAGACAGAGTTTTGCTCTGTTGCCCAGGCTGGAGTGCAATGGTGCAGTCTTGGCTCACTGCAATCTCCACCTTCCAGGTTCAAGCAATTCTCCTGCCTCAGCCTCCTGAGTAGCTGGGATTACAGGCACAGGCAGCCATGCCAAGCTAATTTTGTATTTTTTTGTAGAGATGGAGTTTTGCCATTTCCCCAGCTGGTCTCAAATGCTTGAGTTCAATCAATCCACTTACCTCAACCTCCCAAAGTGCTAGGATTACAGCTCTGAGTCACCGTGCCTGGCTGCCTTTGTTAATTTTCTGTCTGGATGATCTGTCCAATGCTGAAAGTGGAGCATTAAAGTCTCCAGCTATTATTGTACTGGGATCTATCTCTCTATCTCTAATAATATTTGCTTTGTGTATCTGGTTGCTTCAGTGTTTGGTGCATACATATGTACAACTGTTATATCCTCTTGTTGTAGTGACTCCATTAACATTATATAATGATCTTTTAAAATCTCTTTTTATAGTTTTTGTCTTTAATCTGTTTTGTCTGATGTAATTATAGTTACTCTTGGTCTTTTTTGGTTTCCATTTGCATGGAATATCTTTTCTGTCCCTTTATTTTCAGTCTATGTGTATCTTTGTAGGTGAAGCGTGTTTCTTGTAGGCAGCAGATTGTAGGGTCTTGCTTTTTACTCCATTCAGCCATTCTATGCCTTTTGGATCTAATTCCTCTCTTTTTGAGTGTGGCTGAACTTAATGACTGTTTTCTAATGAACGGTGCATGGAAAGGGAAAAATGGTAACTTCATGATGGAGACAGCATCTTAACCAAGTGATCAAGGTTAACATCACCATAAAACGTCACATTGAGGTTGGGCTCAGTGCTCACACCTGTAATCCCAGCATTTTGGGAGGCCGAAGTGGGTGGATCATGAGGTCAGGAAATAAAGACCAGCTTGGCCAACAGGGTGAAACCCCATCTCTACTAAAAATACAAAAATTAGACAGGCCTGGTGGTTGTGCACTTGTAATCCCAGCTACTCAGGAGGCTGAGGCAAGAGAATTGCTTGAACCTGGGAGGCGGGGGTTGCAGTGAGCCAAGATTGCACCACTGCACTCCAGCCTGGGCAACATAGCAAGATTCCATCTCAAAAAAAACCAAACAAACAACAAAATACCAGAAAATCTTTGAATATAGGTAGTGGTGATGGTTGTACAACATTGTCAATGTGATTGATGTTACTGGGTTGTACTTTTAAAAACTGTTTAAATGGGCTGGGTGCAGTGGCTCATGCCTGCAATCTCAGCACTTTGGGAGGCTGAGGTGGGTGGATCACCTGAAGTCTGGAGTTCAAGACCAGCCTGGCCAACACAGTGAAACCCCATCTCTACTAAAAATACAAAAAATTAGCTGGATGTGGTGGCAGGTGCCTATAATCCAGCTGCTCTGGAGGCTGAGGCAGGAGAATCACTTAAACCAGGGGAAGCAGAGTTTGCAGTGAGCCAAGATTGTGCCATCGCACTCCAGCCTGGGCAACAAGAGCAAAACTCTGTCTCAAAAAAAAAAGAAGTTAAAATGATAAATTTTACACCATATATTTTACAACAATATTTAAAAATTAGCACTGTAATATGCCAAAAAACAGTGAATTATGCACCTGAAATAGGTGAACTGTATGGTGTGTGAATTGTATACCAATTGCACTCCAGCTTGGGCAACAAGCGCAAAACTCCATCTCAAAAAAAAAATTGCTTGAGCTCAAGAGTTTGAGACCAGCTGGGGAAAATGGCAAAACCCCATTTCTACAAAAAAATACAACAATTAGCTCGGCATGGCTTCATGTGCCTGTAATCCCAGCTACTCAGGAGGCTGAGGCGGGAGAATTGCATGAACCTGGAAGGTGGAGCTTGCAGTGAGCCAAGATTGCACCATTGCGACAAGAGCAACAAGAGCAAAACCCCGTCTCAGGAAGCCGTTTTTCTGGATGATCTTGATGCTTGTGGATGTTTGTTGGTGTCTGGTCACTGAAGTCTTCGTTGTTCATTATAGTCTGTGCAGTCTGGGCTTGTTTGTACCTGGCCTTCTTGGGAAGGCTTTTCAGTGTGAAGGGACTTAAGTGTTGTGACCTAAGTTTTTGGTCACTGCAACTGTGTCTGTATTAGGAGGCACCCTAAGCCCAGTAACACTGTGGTTCTTACAGACTTGTAGACTTATCACCTTGGTGGTCTTGACTGGATCACCAGTCTCTGCCTGATGATCCGGAAGAATTCTCTGGATCATCAGGCAGAGACTCTTCTTCTCTTCCCTTATTTTCTCCCTAACGGAGTCATTCTCTCTGGGCTGAGTTCCTTGGCATAAACACCCCTGTGGCTACCATCACTGGGCCTGTGCTGGGTCAGACCCGAAGCCAGCACAGCACTGGTCTTGCCCAAGGCCTGCTGTGACCAGTACCTGGCTACCCGCTATGTCTTCTCAAGGCCCTAGGGCTCTACAGTCAGCAGGTAGTAAAGTCAGCCAGTCAGTCTCATATCCTTTCTCTTCAGGGCAGTGAATTCCCCAGACTCTGGAAGGGTCCAGAGGTGCTATCCAGGAGCCAGGGTCGGGAGTGGGAAACCTTAGAAATTTACCTGGCACTCTATTCTACTGTGGCTAAAACCACAAGACAAAGTTCTTCTCCCTCTTTACTGCCCTTTCCCCAGGCAGAGGGGTCTCTCCCCATGTCTACCACCACCACAGGCCCACAGGGAGTACTGTCAGTGTGCAGCTGATGTTCAGTTAAGGTCCAAGGGCCGTCCAGTCAGCTTATGGTGATGCTGCCAAGCCTGGGACTCACCCTTCAGGCAGTGGGCTTCCCTCTGACCCAGAGTATGTCCAGAGATGCTGTCTAAGAGCCAAGGTCTAGAATTGAGGACCTAAAAATCCCTCTTGGTGCTCCCCCTCACTGTGACCGAGCTAGCATCTAAGCTGCAAGCTTCCCTTTCCTTTTCTCAAGCAGAAGGTGTCTCTTCTTTTATTTATTTATTTATTTATTTATTTTAAAAGACAGGGTTTCGCTCTTTTCCTTCTGCACACCACTGAAGATCCTGGTGTCGCTATGGGCTGCTGCCCCGCCCGTTGTTACTGATATTGTAAGAACAAGCCGTACCCAAAGTCTTGCTTCTGCTGAGGTGTCCCTGATACCAAGATTCGCATCTTTGACCTGGGGTGGAAAAAGGCAAAAGTGGATGAGTTTCCACTCTGTGGCCACATGGTATCAGATGAATATGAGCAGCTCTCCTCTGAAGCCCTGGAGGCTGCCCGAATTTGTGCCAATAAGTACATGGTGAAAAGTTGTGGCAAAGATGGCTTTCATATCCGAGTGTGGCTCCACCCCTTCCACGTCATCTGCATCAGCAAGATGTTGTCCTGTGCTGGGGCTGACAGGCTCCAAACAGGCATGCGAGGTGCCTTTGGAAAGCCCCAGGGCACTGTGGCCAGGGTTCACATTGGCCAAGTGATCATGTCCATCCGCACCAAGCTGCAGAACAAGGAGCATGTGATTGAGGCCTTGGGCAGGGCCAAGTTCAAGTTCCCTGGCTGCCAGAAGATCCACATCT